GAGATGGTTGATGCCCCAAGCCTGTCAGTGTCTCAGAGGAATTTGGACATCCTGAAATAGGATTGATATCGAATATATGAGAAAGTATTTAAGCTAGCCTCAGACTCTAAAAGCTGATAGGCTTTAAATTACCCTGCAATAAATAAATCACTGGCTTCAGAGTAAACATTAATGGCCACGGCTTTGCAAATTAGTTTAAGAAAAACACATGTATTAAAGATAGCTCTTAATGATGACCCTTGCTAATGTAGGTATGTTAAGGCTACACTAAATGGGAAAGTGTGCACTGTACAGGATAAAAATCCCCAGCAGCAGCTGCCAATTGTGTACCCATGAAAAACAATTGCCTTTACTCCGTTAGGAACTTTGCACTTGCCAAGTATTATTAGGGTAGCAGTTCTTAAAATGCAAACTGTAAAACATCAGAAAGCAGTTCAATAAACAACAAACTTCTCTCAGTACTAGGAATACGTATGCACATTTTCATGATCCAAATGAGAAAGCAGAACAAAATGAGAGAATACAAATTAACAGATATTTACAGAATGAAGCGTGGGTTTTATTTGGGTGTAAATCAAAACCACTGTGATAGCTCTGTAGATGATACTCCTTGGATTTTTTTTCCCCTCCCCAAAAGACTAGATAGACATCTAGTCTTTCATTTTAAAAAGGCTGAGAAATACCACACTGAAGGAGAAAAAAGGACTCTGGAAAAGATTTATAAAAGAATCTCTCATGAGAAATTTAATTTGATAGTCTTTTTTTGCTAGAAAGCTCTTGGGCTTGCAGCTTTCAGTTTAAAAAAAACCCCACAAAACAGAAGGAAAACAAATGTTTTTGTTGACTCTATCACTGTATTTTGTAAACCTACAATGTAAGTGGAAAAAAACAGATTGCAAATTGTGCCTACTACTTTTTTCCCCCTCCAAGCTATGCTACTAAAATCCATTTGGGTAGCCCAACAAGCCTTAATTGTTTAATAAAGAAATGAATTCAGCACTGTGTGAACACTTAATCAGCAGATATTCAACCAGCAACAAGAATGTTAAATATGCATACAAATTGTTGTAGGAATACTTAAAGTCAATTCCAACTCTCAGAAATGTGATAGGTATAACAATTTTAAGCACATTAAATCACTTCTGATTAGTGAAATAGGTCTAAAAATAGAAGCAGCAAATGAACCCATCACACTCAATACCTCTGTAAGATTGACAGTTCATCTAGAATTTCATAATAGAGCAAGAAGTTGACAGACTATGTCAAACAGACTTTAATTTCTAGGAATGTCTCTATACAGGAATCCATGTGAAACCACACTACGCACGGACAGGACACACCTATAAACTAGGCACACAAGTCAAAGTTTGAAAAAGCTTCAGAACAGAACAGCTCAAGTTTTCACAAACTGTTCCTCTAAGGTAAGCACTGAGGGGAAAATTCTTGCTCTGCAAATTTCTCTTTTGTGTATGGTGACTATGGTGTCTTGGATTTTGAGATTTAACACACAGTGTTGCTGAATAAAAAGGCAAACACTGCTTATTAGTAAACTGCTAGCATTACCAAAACACACGCTATTAAACTGATTACTTGTTCATAAATTGATTACTTTATCTGTTTTGTCTTCCTAAGTGCATCGTGTAATAATTAAAGTCAAAGCTAGCTCTGTACCTTTCAAATCCTTGTTTTTCCTCTCTTCTTAGATTAACAGGAGTCATGTTACCAAAAATAGCCCATTAAAATGGGCAAGAAAACCAGAAACAAACTGCAAATTCACTCTTCACGACACAGCACAAAAATCATGGTCACAGCTTCATATTTAATGTGGAATCACTTTTAAGTATACAGTATTTCAAAAGATCCAGAAACTGGTTAAGAGTTAAAAGCCAGTAGAACAAAAATACAGGAAATACAAAATAAATCTTTGACCTTTTTAATTCTAAATTTTAGGGTCACATGCCTGAATAGACAAGTTTGATTTATGAGGAGAGAAACTTTGGTATGGAGTTGAACTAGCCACATGAATAGCACCTGTAGCTTTCAAAATAAATAGTAATGGCTAACTGGACACCATGGCAGCAAGATACCTCTTAAAAAAAGACTAAGAACAAGCACATGCTTGGAGCTATGCATCAAGGCTGGACAACAGAAACTAGTGTAGTCTTTTTTTAAAGCATATTCCTGATGCTGAAATTAGTAAGAAATCTTTCCTATCATGAGAAAACTTTCCTTTTATTTGCTAACCACTAATAATTACTCCCTTAAAAATTGCACTCGGATATTTGAAGAACACTGTACTAATTTTTTTTAAGTTTTTAGACTCCCTTCATTTTTCTAAAATAATTGTATTTTTATTCCATAGGCCCATGCTGTTAGCAGGTGTTGCAAACAGAAACATTCCCCTACTCCAAGAGTTACTTATTAAAAAGATCAAAGATAAGTTCGACCTCAATATGGAACAAAAGTTTTTTTAATAAATGGTTCCAGAAATAACAAAAAAATCTTTCTAATGTGTGATACTCTCCTACAGCCATCGAGAAAATACTTACCAGAATGTTAGTCTATGTTAATCTGTGTTTTATGGGTTTGCAACAAAGCATAATATACATTGAGCAGAATGAGTGAAACCTCAGTTTCCAGTGTATAATGTATTTTAGTAATTTAATAGATTTTAGTTTTCATTTGTGTATTCCACTGTAGTGCTGTGACAACAAATCACACCTGTGTACCAGAGCATACATCAACAGTATGATGTAACTTTACTTACATCACTGCTATATTTAGCTTTTTGAAAGAGACATAAGCATACACTATGGCCACATCAAATAATTTTCTGGGTTTTTTTCTTTGATAACCTTCACTTTTTCAGTAATACTTCACTTTTAGAGTTTGAATTATTGGAAAAAAAAATCACAGAAAGTTTATACAGGAATAGCTATAAGGAATAACCTCACAGGCACTGATATGACAAACATTTATTTTAAGGGCTGAGAGGCATTAACATCATATTGACAAAGTTGACTGAAAAGAACGACTAACTTTGTCTAAATGGGAAATGCCTGCTTTTGCTTGTATATTGAGAAAAGAAATTCAGAAAGTTATTTTTTGGCCTTGCTATGTCACAAAGTCAATCTTACAAAGACCTACGCTTTAATCTAAGATGGTAGTTTTAAAAGCCCTTCTATTAAGAACAAAAACATCATGCAAAACTTGATCAATTATGTAGCTGCTTTAAAACTGCTGCAAGACCATACTGTATATATTAGCTTTTATACTGCTAATGCACAACTAACAGCAAACTTGATTAGATTAACACAAATTTGTCTTAATTACACCGTTATATCACACTAAGGAGACAAATGCCACGAGATTGGCAAAAACATTTAATTCTGAGCACTCATATGGCAGGATAATTATGTGTTGTAACCCCTTCACATTTAGAAAAAAACATAATCCTGCAGCCTCACTTTACAAAAAAAAGTTCTGTGAAATATTAATTGGGAGGGGAACAGTTTATACTATCTAACACAAAGTAACTTATACAACTAGTGTCAAAGGCAAACAAAAAAACTTCTAAATAAAAAGTCAAAATACACATAGCAACAGAAGCACAAATGCTGTATTAAATACAGTCAAGATAAGACAACAACACACTTGTTAATAAAAAAGACCAAAAAAAAGAAGAAAAGTTACTAAAGTTAGCAACACATTTAAAGAAAATGCAATAAGGGAAAACTATTTTTTCATTTGACAATAGAGTTTCCATTTGCAGTCTTTCCATCCATAATTTGTCTGGTACAGTACATCCATTAAAATATTCAGAATCTTCCAGAAGAGCTAGGTTGTTCTCTTCCAAATCTAATTCCCAAGTTGGTTTTGGATGTTTTAAACAGACATTATTATGAATGAAGTAAAAGCAAGGCAACAAATGGATTTTTTATCACCTTTGATCTTAGCACTGATGACAAACATTTTTAAAAGTTATCATAATCTTTTTTGTCTTTTTTTCCCTCTGCTTCAAATCCATCAACCCCATCACTGTCCCTTCTCCTTTTACGATTATTATGGATGTTGAAGCGTTGATTCATCTGTGGTAACGGATCCATTCCTAAAACTTTGTGTATTTGACGGAATGCAAGGAGCCTCAGTGCAAACTAGAAAAAGGGTAGAAAGAAGATATTCTGTTAGAAACAAATGTCAATTTTGAGTACTTTGTCAAGCAATTAATGAAGAATATTAGCAGTGTATTTCCTGAGCTCTCATTATCCCCTCCTCCTTCCCTCAAGTACGTCAACACAATAAAATGTGTTACGTCACATTTGCTGCTTCCGTACAATGTGTATCATCTTAGCTTAAAAATAATGTACATGTGTTTTAGCTGCTGTACTTGGACTGAAACAGCCAAGGCTTGTCACACGTCCCATTACGCATTAGTAATCTTTAGCACAAGGATCAAATGAAGTGTAGGGGCAGTAACCTCTCAAGCTGCATGCGTGCATGGTCAATGCTGTAAGTGGATACAATAAATATTAAAAATAAACTTACACAGATTTATTTATAAAATATTAAATGCCAATGTAATTTTAAATCTAATAACATACTGCTATAGAGTATCTTTATGGATATATATAGATGGGAGTTCTTAAAACTTTTCAGGAAAATATGTTCATTTTAGTGCAAATATGAACACTATTATACATCCTCTGTTGTGACATTTTTATTACCTAGCTTAAAATTGATAATCTGAAAGACTGAACAATATTCTTAAGAACGGAAAACTCATGTCCACTATATAGCTTCATTTAAAAAAAAGAACAAAACAAAACCCCAAACCAAACAAAAAAAAGCCCCCAAAACTAGCCAATTCATTTAGTTACTTCACACATACGTTTCCTTACCTGTGCACTCGAAGTAATATCCTCTCGCTGCTGATCTGTCATTACAGCAAGTGTATCAAAAGGATCTTTTTCACAAGGGTCCAGAAGACCAGGACCACCTACAATGGTTAGGCTAATTAGTAGCATATTTCTGCCTTATTTCAACCAAGATTACACATTTTACATTAGTTAAGCATAAGTATACAGACGCTGATCAAATGCAACTTGCCTTTAAGGATGATTCCTGAAGATATACACTCAAAAACTCTTCTTAGCGCATCCCCAGGACTCTGTGGTCCAGTAGCGCTGCTAATTGCTTTTTCCACAAGTAATTCCATAGCCTAGAACAACAGTAAGAAAACACAGCCAATTTAGAAGATGGATTAAAACAAAAAAAAGCTGCTACTGTTGTTCAATACGGAACTTTTGAATCTGGAATTTTGCAGAACATTACACAAAGAACACTTTCAGTTAAAATGTAAAAAAAACAATTATCAGATATTCTAAAAAGATGAATAAAAAGAAAACTGATACAAGATTAATATTGAGTACTGTACTGATACGCTTCTTCTCATCACAAGTTGTTCAAAAGTCTTGTAGAAATTTATACAGTAGTAGCCTACATATGCAGGTAGACATCTTGTCCAGCCATTTTTTGAGAGTAGGAAACATGGCATGTCACCTGAATCTGTCAGCCACATGAATAAACAGCACACAGTATATCTAATGAAATTAAGAGGATGCTATAGAAAAATAAACATTTTCTACAGGAGGACAGAACCTTAAACATTAAAAGACCTTTTCTGATGCTTTAAGTGATTACTAGTTCTTCAGTTTAGCAAAACTGAAGTTCATACAAAGTTTTCTCCTGCATATAGGCTAACACTAACTCAGATGTTAAACAAGTATAAAAATGCCTTGATGATAAACAGGTTTTCTAAAATTTATACAATATTTGATATGAGTTAAAAAGGTTTTAATGATTAGCTCTATTTTAAATAGTTTTTTTTCTGTGAATTATTTCCATGGTTTACTTTTATTAGCCACTATTTTTTCCAGAAAAAGCTACAAAAGATATTTGCAAAAGTGAAGAATAGCTTTCCTTGGGATTTTTTTCAGCATTAAATGGATGTTTCAATACAACCTCTCTGGCAAGTTTAATTCTCAAACAATGTGTCTCTTCTTTTTTGAGGGATTTGTTTTTTGGTCCTTGTCTTCCCCACTGAGTTTACTGTTGTTCAAATGCTGCCTTTTATTTTTACTTACCAGGACTAAATCCCTATTCTGATGCATGCAAGTAACTACGGGCAGTGTTGATTACAATCCTTTACTAAGGGTGCCCATTCCTTTCTATTTTAGTTCCATTTAACTGACAAATTCCACTTCTTGAGCATGGTATTTCCATACTCCCATTGCATCACTCAGGATTTAGCAACAGTAATTTAGTTGTTTTCAAGTATGAAGCAAAATACAGCAGGAAAGAAAAAAACCAAATAACGTTTTTGCATTTATTCAAGCCTAGCTCTTTTGGATCCTCATACAACAGAGTCTGCAACTTAATCCTAGAAATATGTGAATTATGATGCCCCGGTCATATGTGCATGAAAGGCTGGATTTCAAGTTTGAAAAATCAACCTTAAATAATAGTTCCTTCTAACTTGTAGGACCTTGACAAAATTCTTCTAATTTAGTTTTTATTTTTAGGTGTATAAAGAGGGTGCTACTAATGTCCATATTTAGACTTCCTAATATCTTCTATTTTTACAACTACTTTTTTTTTTTTTTTTTAAGCTCTGGCATCTCTCTCTTCTGTAACAGGCTTCTAGCATACAGAGCAGTTCTGTATGCAGAAAACCACATTTCTTCAATCTATGAAATGCCACCTGTGACTGGCAGGAATTTGCACTAAATTTAAATATATTTAAAATCACCATTTTCATTCTGTCATTGTTTTTATCAGTAAGACTGCCAACAGGCCAAAAGAACAGCTGACTACACAGACTTCAATGTTGATCCACGTCACTGACAATGCATCAAGGACCAGGAGCAAATCACTTTTGGAGAGAACTGACACACAGCTAAGCCTGACAGACTGTTTCACACCTCTCTTCCCTTCTGGATGTGACTTAGAAGAGATAATGTGAGAAATATGAAACAACATTCCTTGTTCTTCATCTCTGTGCCTGCTGTGTACTGCAACAGTTCTAAGGATGCTTTTCTGGAAGTATGCCAGGGTTTATTCTTTGGCAACTCAGTATCACAGTGATATTAAGAGGGCACTTACATACTTCTTAGCTTCTTTTAAGCTATATTTGTGCATTGTGCCTTTCATTAAATGTAGCACAGAAACTGGCACTATTTTACTTAAATATTTTAAAACTTAATATTTAAAAAATTAATAACTGCTCCACATATTTTCCAGAAGCAATAAATACTATCAGAAGTAATTTGATAGAATTGTCTGCAAGCTTAATACAGTTGTAAAACATTTCTCATTGAAATAATGCCAACTGCTCAAACTGTCTTGACAATGTTAGTGCTCTTCCTGCCAAAACTCGGCACAGCACAACAGGATTTTGTGTGTGGAAAAAAAACAGTGGGAGCTAAGTTTATTTCCACACCATACATATTTGAGAGACTTTGTTTCAGACTAACTTTGTCCGATCCACAGACTGAACATCTGTTAATATTTAGAGCATAAGTTCCACTCCTGGAGAGCATCATTTAAGATAGCCAAAGCAAAAGGAATGCTCTAAGAACACTCAGCTGCAAGAATTAAGAGAGGTAACCCGGTACAACCTAGAGATCTAAGTGACACTGATTAAAATGCTAATGGTGACACATCCGCAGACTGTACTGAAGTACTGCGGTATTTCATCTTGCGGAAGGGACATATGATTGATCACAGGAATTACTGTGATTTATTCTTTCAAGTAGCCCTTCTGTTATGACAGAACTATCTGGGCACAGCTGACATTATTTTAAATAAGCTTCAGTAAACTCCAAGCAATTCAGAGTAGGTAGTTAGAAAAAATGAGATTCTTTTATACAGAGTAAAGGAAAAAATGCTGAAATCCAGAATTGGAATGCTACCCACAAAGCATACAAAAGAACAAGAAAATCCCTTTTGAGGGAAAAAAGAAATTCCATCTCCAAATGACAAAACTTTAGAAAATTAATTTTTTTAGAGAGAATCGGGATCATTTGTTGCAGGAGGGGATCAAAAACCCAAACAAAATCTTGCATTACTTCTTGAAAAAGTCTACATTTAAAAACTGTAGTAACACTTTGCTATGCTTTACTTGCAGTACCATGTGTATTAAAAGGATGCACTCAAAAGAACATTACTCACCCAGCTTGGAAAATCAGACCAAGTTGGAACCCGCTGACAAAGGTCACGAAGGATACGTATGAAAATCACACAGGACTGCAGACCATTAGCTCTAGCCTTGAGACCAATACAAAATCAAATTAATTAATCCCAGCACCTACAGCAAATAGGACTTGTTGAAAGACTAAAATACCACTGTTCAATGGAAGCTCAGATACAAGATTGAAACAAATCATTCTACAGCTTTATTCCATGAGCTGCCATTTACAGCAGTATTTTATACAGGGTTAGTAATTTAAGGTGGTAGAAGTCAAAGTGCACAGGTTATACAAGAATAACATTTCTTGATCCCCTGTACACTTTGACCTGTGTTCACTTGTAACAATAAATACAGTATCTTTCTATATTAGAAATGAAAAGGATAAAGTAAAGATCTAAGAAATAGGTATAGAGACTGAAAGGTCAAGGGAATCTGTTTGGTTTCTTTATCGTGCCTTTGCCAGAATGCAAAGTCACTAAACCAAACAGTTGCTTCTCACCTTTCATTCCCTACAGCACTTAAAGAAATAGGAAAAAAAGTCTTAAATCTAAACACAAAGCTTTAAACACATATTCCATTATTTAAAGCAAAGTTACTCTGCAGCCTTATGGAATATATAACAAATATACAACATATAATTACCCCAAGCGAGTCAAGCTTTCAACATCGCCTCCTCAATGACCAGAAAAAAAAAATCATATCAAATGGGCAATAACTGCGTAAAGCAGTTCCTCCATACTCAACCTTCTACATTTAAATTTAGGGACCAGAAAAATATGAAGTATTATTAGCATGAACAACGCTGCGTGTTTTCACACAATTAAACATTTATATTGCAACTGAACTAATCTCTCATAAGGCTACAAGAAGAAAGTAAAATGATGTTCCGAACCTGGAACCACTTAGCGTGGCGTAGAGCAGCCAGAGCGTCAAGGCATTTTTGCCTGTCCAAGACGTCCGGTGGGTCTTTCACCATACCCGAGGTTACATCTAAAATGGATTGAATTGGCAAAATGCAGTGAGGAATGGGTGTTTGACCAGGCGAGCAAGACACTTCCTTAAAGTAGCTTCAATGTCACACATGCCATTTAAAGTTTAAACCCTTGAACAACAAATGTAAATGTTCAATAAAAGCCATTAAATTAGGATTAGGGCATCAGCCCAGTATGAAGATCAAGAGCATGTTATACTTTAGCTCTGCGGTTATTTTCAAATGCATTGCAGATTATGCAACGCATAGTACTTTGTTATTTAAGCTAACACTGGAAAAACATATATCCCCTAAAATTAAGTACTGAAGGAAGGATGGTTGGACACAGTGCACCAGCACAGAGAACACAAGACAGAAGGAACACAAAAATCCACTTTAACCAAGTAGAAACATTCAAACTTAGTTTCTCGTAAATTTTAATGGTCACATGTTATTTGGAACCTATTCTTTAAAACAAAAACTAAGTATAACAAATCTTAGAAGTACTAGATGTTTAGTAATGATGTTATCTGTCTCATACCTTGAACTTGAAATTATTTTGCTTTAAAAAACTGACTAAAGGAAAGTGAAATACTACAGAGTTCCATTATTTTCTAGTACCTTCTCTTTCTTCTACTCTTAGAAATAAAATTCTTCAGCCCATTATATCTGTGCTTCAATATCATTTAGGATTCAAGGAAGGATCTGAAAAGGGACTGCTTTACTTAAGATTCAACAGGAAAAAGAAAAGCAAGGAATAGTTTAAAAAACAAGGCAGAATGTCTGAAAGATAAAGAAAATATAGTAGATCTTGTACATTTAAATGTTCAGAAAAGGATTTAATTACCAAGCTGATTGCTTTGTTACCAAAAAGGAAGAGACCACAGGCCTTTTTGGAAGTGGTTTAATCAATGAAACTGGAACCACTGAACAATGTGAAATGGTATCCTCAGGTTACTTAAAAAGTGTACAGATATAATGCAGTGATCAGCTTTAAAAGTTCTCTGTTTTACTAATTATGCAAATGGCTATTGTGACTAGCAACAGAGTACGCTGCCAGAATAACTGGTGTTACACCAGGTAAGACGAAACAAAAAGCCCTCATTCAGTGGCACTCATTTCAAAGGAGCTGGCTGTATGGAACAATGTAGTTTACTCCAGCAAGATGTAAGTTTACGTAAGCCGGAGAATAAAATTAAAAAAGAGAGATACATTGAGACTCATGAAACATGCCTGCAGGAAGAAGCTTTTAGGAATGCTGCAGAAAGAAAGACAGCTCTGAAACCACCTATTTTACACAGATTTAAAATAAATAATAGGATACTTTACTGTACAGAGATCTAAAAAGCCATGAATGAACATGGTGGTACAACTTTGCAATATAATAATTAACTTTAATCCGAAGTACTATATTCAGATTTGATAATTTTTGTAAGATAGTCCCATTGCTCTGCAGAGGGCTTAAAGAGGGAGGACTTCAAAATAAGAACGAAGCTGAGAAGAACATAGGTATCTTCTCACATGGATACTCAAGCTTATGGACTCTATGTTAAAGTGGAAAGATGAAAATCTGCACTAACAAGGCATTTACAGAGCAAATGAAGACATTTAAAGCGGTATTTCCTTTAAAATAAAACAAAAAAAAAAGGAAAAAAAGCCCCAAACCTATACAAGTGCCAGGTAAGGTAACTGATGAAATGAGTACAATCTAGATATAAGAGACAAGGAGTACATTTAGAGAAAACCCACAGCAGGAAAAAAGTGGCCAAGTAAGGTTGATAAACTAAAAAAAACAAACCCAAAACCAAAAATGGGTTGTTGGCCCTAGTAGTCTAATCAGTCAAGTTTACATTCTTCTAAAACTAATATGCAAATAGGTGACACTGTGCAAACTCTTAGCACAATAACTCATTACATAATTTGAAACTCCAATTACTTCGAGCTCTAAAAAACTTCAATTTGGAAAATAATTTTACTAAGAAGAATTACAGTCATAAGTGCACAGAAGACAATCTTACCCAGTACTGGAAATGTCAGTCTAAACTGTGCTACTAATAGATATCATATGGATACCCTTGAAACTTAAAAAGACTCTGAAAGTCAGAAGTTGCCAAGGCACCTATTGCACTGAGAACACATTGACTGAAAAACATGTATCAAGGAAACTCCTGTAATATTTAATGTGTGGATTTTTGCTTCTGTTTCACATTTCAGGATTAACCCCTTAAAGACTATTTAACTAAATTCAGATGCCTAACCTACTACCTCGTTAAGCTAAGACAAAAAACAGAAATAATTTACAAAAAACAAGCACAAATTCTCACCCTATATAACTTAATTATTACTAGCCTAAATATAAGGGGTTAATCAGTTAGACATGCCGTGTCCACACTACCTCTTCATTAAAAGTTAACAGGTATATAAATTTCGGTAAATTTTATTATGGGAAATACATTTTACCCAGTCAACTATTTCAGGACTAGTGTGAACACTGCTTAATTCTAGGAGAGAGACAAAGACGAAAAGAAAAAAAAAACAAAAACAAAAACCACAAAGTAACAGTAGATGCCAGGACTATGCATCCAAACCCCCTCCTTTGTAAAGCATGGCAGGTGTGACACTGAGCTTTAGAAAACCTTGGTCAAAAATCCTTCCGATGTCTTGGCAGGAACCCCTGATAGGAATCAAGTCCCTCTGCTAGCAGGCTTTAGACCGGGGCGGTTAGCTAAGGATAAAAGAGACACACGCGCACACATGTATGTGTTTATAAATATGTACACTTTGTTTGCTGAAGGAAAGATTCCACAGCAGGGGTTAGAGCGCTTTGAATATATCAGATTCGGTAAACTGTCAAACGCATAATACTGTAAGAAACAGTTGCTATGCGGTTAACAATTTTATTGCACTGTATTTTTTTTTAGCCTTTTATCATGTAATGGAATTATTACACATCAAACATGATTCTACTCCATGTGCAAGTCTTAGTCCCATCTTGACTCAAACGGGTTCTTCCAGTAAAGCCTTTCTTATCACCTGAACTAGGTCCCGAAGCGGGCCAAGAAAAATGAAAACTTTAAATCATTGTAAGACACAGAGCATAAGAAGCTGCAGTAAGAAAAAACATAAACACATACTGTTACTCTGCAGCAAATAAGCAGCAGTCTTCGTAATAAGGCCTTCTTCACTGCAATTATTTGCAATTCAGTCTTCTATTTGCTCTAGTTTCAAAAATGAACTTTTCTGCACATCCATTTTATACTGCTCAGTGTCTTGAAGAGAAATCTAAGATTTTGCTTGCCTAGCAGCAGTACTGCATTCAGCAGTGAATAAAGACACAGTGATATTTTAACTCAAGTGTGGGTCAGACAAAAATACAGATTTGTTTCCTTTAGGTGGCATAAATTAAGGGATTGATGGAAGTAATTTGAAATTTCTTTTATTTTTAGTCCACATTATAGAATTTTAGGCCAGAAACCACTTAACTGAAATTGAGTATTGTGGCAGGAATCAGTATTACACTTTTGCACAGTACAGTAAGAAATAAACATGGTGTTTAAGGTTAACTTCATTTAATGGTTAATCTAATTTAATAATCAAATCTTTTAAGTTAAAGTATTCTTTATGAACTTAAATAATATGTGAAATCTGATTCAGCACAGACAAACCAAGAGTAATGCTACACTTAGCTTGTCAAAAAAAGTAGAATTGGTTGGGTGTGACAGTACATGTACAAAGCCTTTATAGCTAGGAATAATATGCACAGCTTAAAATTAATGTTCAAAACACTCTTAAAGACTCTTCAGAAGTCATCCAAACCAGTGAACACATCTTGAAATTTTTCTTTCTGGTTATGTAGGACGACTATGTTAACACAGCTTGCTTACAATGCACTAGTCACAGCTACAGAACACTTACTAATGCAATATAAAAACCTCAAGTATTTTAGAGGACATGTAATGATGAGCTGAAATAAAAAAAACCTCCGTGGTTTATATCAATACGTATATACACAAGCACATGTATACATACACACATACAATTTTTTTCAACCTGCATATAAGAAGTGTTAAGATAGCCTCAGATTTCCTATTTGTAGGTTCACTGTCAAATACCAGAACCCTGTTTGCCATGATCTCTTTCAACTATGAAAATAGAGGATTAAAAGGAAACAAAGTTAATTTTATCTGACCCGTAAACAAAAAGAACCAATGTACTGCAGACAATTAATCATGCTTGTTGGCTTAAAAGCTTTTGGAGCTTTGAAAGTGTTACAGAACAGACCCTAAAGCAACACTGCTGGCACCAGAGAAACTGTGGACTTCAGAAACATAAATCGATTTACAAGCTCCACCTTCTGCTTCAGCTCAATGACAAAGCCATTTCTTATTGTACTCGTCTGGGTTTGCCAGTTGGATAGAAGACTGATTGTAATACCAGGAGCCTAAAATATACTAAAAAAGCACTCCAGACCGAAAAGCAACCTCAGAGAGCTGGAAAAAATCACGTCGTCTTTTAAAGTTAGAAGTACTGTTACCACAAAAAGTATTATAAAAGTACATTTTAAGTGGCGCTGCTATTTGGAATGTGTAAGTAATGGTAATATTGATCCAGTTAAACCCAAAAACCTGTGATTTGATTTTCTAAAACCACACAATCTTTCTCTTAGGGCAATACTGCTCTAGAAAGCCAGTTTATAGCCACTTACTATAAAATACTTAGTTTTCCACATAATTTTAAAAGACGGAAAAAAAATAGTCAAGTTTGTACCTTTTCCAGAAAGCTGAGGTTGAACATAAAGTTAGAACTTTTAAAAATTAAATAAACCCATCATATAAGCATTTATTTTAACCAACTGCTCTCTACCGAGACTGGTTGTTGAAAAATAAGGTTTCGATCAAATACATGTGCCAGCATGTTGCCTTCCAGGACCTTAATGCCATCTTAAGCAGAAAAGATAAACATAAAAAAAAAAAACAGGTGAGAAAGAAGTAACATCTTTAACAACTTCCCAACCTCCATCCCTCATGTTCTCCTCCCGAATGACTGGAGATGTCAGTGTGATAGTAACTTGCATTTTGGGTTCCACACATGAATTTAAAATTATTGCTGCTTCTGCGACTGCACACTTGATATCATATTTCTCAGGACTTATTACCTAAATATCGAGAAACAGAAATTTCCATTAGCATGTGGCCAATAAAAGTATGGGGAAGAAAACTGATTTCAACACAGTCTTTTTAACAGAAAGACAGAAATGCAATATAATAATATGAAGTAGATACCTCTATATTCAAAGAAACCACAGTATACACAATTAAGAGATATATATGGACTTGCATACAGTTTCCGAATCATTAATCAAAATCTGCAGCAGTCACCAAGCATGCAAAAGAAAAAAAACTACCCCGGAAGGAAATTCGTATACAAGTAAGTTACAGAACAAGAATCTTGGCAATGTTTGCGATAAAGAAAAGCCTCAGTGCCACTTATAAATGTCAGCTGGATATGTTTCTCATTCGAACACAGGCGCCTTTAGAAAGCACAAAGATGCAGGGGTGGTTCTTCAGGCTTGCAGTTACAGTATGGGTACTGCTAGGTACGTTCTATATTTGGTTGTCACAACACGTTAAGAACAAAGGGCAGGATAAACACCAGGGAAAAAAATGTAAACAACATTTAACTAACTAACAAGTAACTAACAAGGTGGTTTTTCTGAATTCCTTCTTGCAACTACATTTAATAATTCTAAATATCCCCAAAGGGAAGCTGTAAGCACCTGTCACTTTCTTCCACAAACTAGTGGGACATGTGACTTTTCCAGAAAGCCAGACCAAGATGTGCAGTTTTTAAATTTTCTTCTATTCTGTTACTTCAAACAAGAGCAAACTCAAGATTATGTTCTAATTAATCTAATCCCGCTAAAGCTTGTGCCATGCCAGTATTTCTGCATAACATTTTACCAGACAGTATTGAAATACTAATGTTGTGACAAGCATTCTTGGTGGACAGGCTTTGCTCAGCAGAGAGCAGACTATACTGAGAGCTCTATACTTTCACTTCTTGTGGAAATACAGCAAACGGTTTGCATGAATTCCACTGATGGTCTAAGACTACATGCACTTTTATTTTTTTTAAAAGAGAAATCATACGTAATTGTGGAACTACAAAGCACTGACACATACAAATTGGAAACAAGATGTAAGTACAAACAGATTGGCATTAATGGAGAACTTTGACCTTCAGGCAGCAAACTTCTTGTAACAGCACAAATTACCTCTGTCGCTGCTGGTAACTGGGTAATAGTCTGTCTTCTGTTCATTTCTATTTCCCAGTGAAATGAAATCTATTAAATGACGATTAGCAGTGAAGTATCAGTGTAAACAGACTCTTGTATGGACACAATATACAGAAAACAAAACATGCGGCATAGTCCCTGAATTCAGATGGAAACACTCAGAAAATGGGAAAAAACTGAAGCTGAGCTATGAAATGTGGCACAGTGAGACCTGCAGACGTTTGACTTGAGGACAGATTTTTACAGTATTTTTACCAAAATTCAAATCCAAAAATCTAAATTCTACTTACTGCAAGTTGTTTGGGAAGACTTTCAGCAATACGACCAAGTAATGTTTTTGAAGGCTTCTCAGCACATAACAAAACAAGATTGACATTTCGGTCTCCACGGAGAAGCAAACCTTTAGCCAAAACGCCTACCCGTAAAACTCCTTTCAAAGCTCTGTGAATTATAGTTAAAAGTTGCATTTAAAATAATATGAAAACCTTAAAACTAATCCAGAAGACAGAAAAGTGAAATAAAATAGGAGCATTTCACATACTTTTGAGGCCATAGTGACATAAGACAGAAAAGTGAAATAAAATAGGAGCATTTCACATGCTTTTGAGGCCATAGTGACATATACCATATCAAAACCCAAAGAGAAGGGAATCCCTAGAAGCATTGGTAAGAGTTTAAGGAAAAATTTCAGAAACAAATGATGAAATTCTTGAAGAGTTATTAAAAAATTACCTGTCTTTACTTCCATCTTTTTTGTCATCTCCCTCTTTGTTCTTGCTTTTTTCATGCTCAGTCATGTTGTCAGAAACAAGTTTCAAAGCACGCTCAGTAATAGAAACAATTTTTTGGACTGCTTGAAGTTCCTCCTCTGTTGGATATATAGCGGCATGTTTGGTCATCACATAGCGATCATCAGAGGAGTCAGGGCGGCGTAGAGGCTAAACAGACAAAAAAGCATGTTTATGAAATTTGGGTACACTACCAAGTTTACCAGTGGTAAGTGACCAAAAACCAAACATGTAGCTAAACAATAAAACATTCAAACCCGTAGTTGCTGCAACATAACAAAACATGAAGTGTCCTTAACAACTTACATTGGTCACAATGAATCATGTCTGAAAAAACATGAAATGTATTAAAATTAAACAAATCATGGATTCCCAGGATCCAAAGTATCTCCCCTGCCTATATAAAAATCTACTGTCTTTCTATCAACTGGAAAATACTTTCATGTAGCTGCAAAATAAAGTATCCATGATTGCTTTCATAGAATCACAGGAGAATTCAAATAGGAAGGGACCTCAAGAGGTCCTCTAGTCCAACCTCCTGTGCAAACATGGTCAGCTATAATGCCCTATAATGGTGCCCAGGGCTTTTATCCAGTTGGTTCTTGAAAACCGCCAAAGATGGAGGCTGCACAATATCTGTGTGAAAAAATTATTTCTTGTATTCAATCTGAACCTCTTTTGTTTCACCTTAAGCTGGTTGTTTTTTGCTCTCTCATGACTCTAAAAAGCCGGGCTCTGTTGCCTTTATAATGCACAAGTAGTAGAAGGCTATTAAGTCCCACTGAAACACTCTCTTCCCCAGGCTGAACAAGCCCAGATCCCTCAGTCTCTCCTCACAGGGCTTGTATTACAGACCCCTGACCATCCTGGTAGCCCCACACTGAAGCTGCTGTAGTGTATAGTATCTTTTTTGTACTGGAAAGCCCAAAACTGAATGTAATATTGCAGTTTGGGTCTAATGAAAGCTGATGACTTCTCTTCATCTACTGATTATGCTCCTGTTAATATAAACCCAGGATGCTGTTGGCATTAATTGCTGCCAGGGGACACTGTTGACTCATGTTCAAGCTTGCTGTCTGCCAAGATGCCCAGGTCCCTTTCAGCAGGCTGCTACTCAGCCTTTCACTCCCCAGTCTATGTCAGTGTAACGTGTTATTCATTCCCAAGTGCACCATTAGGCATTTGTCCCTGCAAAACTCCATAAAGCTCCTGTTGGTCCATTCCTCCAGCCTGCCTAGGTGCCTCTGGATGGCAGCCCTGCCCTCAAAGGTATCAACTATTGTCCCCAATCCAAACTGATTCAGTTTCATGCCAGGTGCAAATCTTATGAGTGTGCACTCACTCCATCACCTTTCAGATCATTGATAAGGTGCTAATGAAACAAATCCTAGGATGAACCCCTGTGGTACTGCACTTGTTACTGACCCCAAGATAAAGTATGACCATTATCCTAACCATTATCCTTTGGGACTAACGATCCAACCACTTTTTATCCATACATTTGTCCACAATTAAATAATGTTGTATAACGCAACTAAATAAAGTAAAAAGTAGCACACAAATCCAGAGTGACTTGTATTTCAGAAGAAACAATGTATGTCTTTAAGGCATCCTCATTTCAGTGGACTTATTTGGACGACAGGTCTACCTACACAGTTTCATTAGCATTATCATTTCTTCTTCACTTTTCCAAATCCTTTATTATGAAACATTGGAGACAACTGAAGTAGTGCTGCATAATTTATAGTTCTTAACTGTGCCTCCTAGTAAGTATGATTTCTTTTTTTTTTTTTTTTTTTTTT